CTATCTTTGGATGTTTTTCAGTAACGATATAGTATAACAATGTGAATTATTGCGTCCTTGTTGTTTGCCAACATTAAACAAGGAAATGATTCACTGTGTTACACTGTTCTTATTGAAAAACATCCTTTGTTATACTAAATGTCAAGAAAGATAGAATGAGACTTGTGTCACTGAAAAGCGTTCTCTATACAAAAATACAAATATAAAAAAAATTTCACAAACCTAACGCGTTTGAGGACAATATTTTCCGCTGTAATGTGTTTCCATACACCGTGCAAGTAATCTCGACAGATTCTTGCAGCAGTTTCCCTCATCTCGGGATTCTTCTCTGACATCTGCCACAAAAAAAAAAGATATCACAATTAACTGCGACGAACGCTAAAAGAAATCGTGTCTTTTAATTGTAATTTCTTAAAGCTAGAGCACAATTTTCTCTCACCGGCTACAGATAATTCATCAAACAAGTAATTACTTGGCGAGGAAGGTATGTAACCAAAAAATTGAGATGTGCTATATTGTTATTGAGATTGTTTGTCCGTTTGTTTGTTCAGCGAGGCATGAGATCGGATTTGTGATAATTATATATGAAGCAAATAATGTAAAAGTATCATGCCAGAAGCGCGATCGTGCATACGCAATCGAGATCATCTGCTGTTGACAGGAAAAGCGCAAACCAACGCATGCGTGTGCATGACGTCACGTCAGTGGATCTCAACGCGCATTGCGCGGGCCACAACCTTGAGTTTCCATCCTTGAACGTTCAAAGCTATTTTCTAGTGGGCTAAGAAAAATTAATTGTAAGAATCTCTGGCTTCGCAAATGCGACAAATAAAGCATTTGCAGAAAAATTATTGTGAATATCGTTCTTTGTCGTTTTCTTATAACGAACGCAAATTCGAACTACTTTTATTACTCTTGACTGCGAATATATTGGTGGACGCGAATAAGTCCTGGAGACTCCTATATATTTTTAGATGTAAAAAAAAGGGAGACGAAAATAATATTGCTTTCCACTCGATGTACTTAATGCTGTACCTTTTTCAACCATCAATGTGTATAGAATCAATTAAATTTTTTCCACAGAAAAATAGCTTAAATAATTAGTTGAAAAATTACAAAACAAACAACAGGGGTCTTTATACACTAAAGCCCATTTCTATCAATGTAAA